TAAACTAGCAGCCATCGTGCAGGCTGTTAGTTTAGGTATACAATCATCAGTTGGAAATAAGTTTTCAGAATTTTGATGGCATTGCTCCAATGAATTCTAGCTTCTGATGGTATGTTAAGAAGCGTAAATCCATTTGGACTCCTGATCATTTGTGTGTGGCTTACTCTTCTCTCCCACCCTCTGCTGGAAACTTGTACAATCTTTTAACTATAGTATTGAAAAATTTTGTGTTGATGTGCCTTGCCATGGATCTGTTATTTTACCCCATTTTCCTGGATACTTAGTGGGCTTTCTAAATTTAGAAACTCATATTCTTTATTTCTGGGAAGTTTTCTTGAACTATTTAATTGATTTCTACCCAGGCCCTGAAGTATTTCAACAGATAAAGTTCTGAGGAATATGTGTTCAGAGTCGGAGGCTGCCACACACTCTAGGAAATGGAACACAATAAAAGAGAGCCAACAGAAGTAACAAAACAGTAGAAAATTCAAAGCCATCAGATTATGGAATTATCAGGCACAGATTGTTACATAAATATGTTTAATATGTTGGAAGAAAAGGAGATGAATAAGATGAGTAAGTAGTCAAGAAATTAGAAAAATTAAAAAGTCATTTTGAAAAAAGACCAAATGGAACATCTAGAGATGAAAAATTTAGTAATGGAAATAAACTCAAAGACTGGATTAACAGGACATTAATTACAGTTGAAGATGGGAGTTGGGTAATTGGATAATAGATCTTAGAAAATTATCCAGAATGCAGCACAGTTAAACAAATAGCTCCCAAAGGAAAGTTGAGAGAAAATGGTGGGAAGACAATATTTTAAGAATCCCTGGGAATTTCTCAACGTTAATAGGCTGCCACTTGGTTCTAAAATTCCAGTGAAGCTCAGCAGGTTATGCAAGAAAAAGAGAATGAAGAAATACGCATGCAGACACAGTGTAAAGTTTGGTGCTACAAAGCACCAAAACCAGAGACCTTAAAAGCAACCAGAGAGAAGATAGACTACCTACTAAAAAACAGTGATTCTGAAACCCATGTAACTTTACTAACCATCGTCACCCCAATAAACTTTAATTACAAAACAACAACAACAACAGTGATTCTATTGATACCTGATTTCTCAATAGCAATAATGGAAGCCAGAAGACAGTGAAATGTTATTTTCAATGTGCTGGGAGAAAATTGCTGTCAGTCTAGAATTCTATACCCAGTGAAAACATCTTTCAAGAATGAGGGCAAAATAAAGGCTTTCCAGTCAAACAAACGGACTAAGCTTGCTACTAATAGACTCTCAATTAAGGAAATTCTAAAGAATGAACTTCAAACAGAAGGTAACATCATAAAGAAATTGTAATGGAAATTAGGAAAAATTTTAAAACGGAATGGTATCACATAGTAGAACCTATGAGATTCTATTAAAGAGATACTTTGGAAGAAAATTTATACCCTAAATGCTTATGTTAGAAAAGAAGAAAAACTGGAAATTAATGAGCTAAGCAACCAATTTAAGCTAGAAAAAGAACAATAGGATAAGCCTAAAGAAAGTAAAGGGGAGGAGATGACAGACATTAATGAAACAGAAAGCAAGCATACAATATAGAGGCTCAAAAAAGTTCAAAGTTTTTTTTTTAAGATTTTATTGGGGAATTGGGGGGAGGGGAACAGTGCTGGGGAATCGGGCAAGGGGAACAGACAAGTTGCTGTCCTTTTGTTCTTCGGTCTAGTTGTGGAGGACATCGCTTCACTGGCCCATGTTGGTATTATCATTGCGCTCTTCCCGGGTGAGGCAGATCGGTTGCCAGCCTCTGGACGGCCGCTCACGGTGCCTCTTGGCAGCTCACACCAGCTGCTGGCTGCTCACGCTGGCTGCCAGCCACAAACGGTAGCTTACAGCAGCCCACTGCAGCAGGGACTGCAGCCTACGCCACCGCCGGCGACCCACGGCAGCCCAGCTCCAGGTTGAGCTGTTGTTCACCATCTTAGCTGTAGAAGGCAGTGTCACTGGCCCTCATGTGGGATCCGAACCGGGGCCCTGCTGTACAGAGATGGCATCCCAAGCCAGCTCTTAACCAACGCGCCACTCGGCCATCCCTGTTTTGTTTTGTTTTGTTTTGTTTTTGAAAAGAGTAATAAAACTGACAAATGTCAGGTGAGATTAATGAAGAAAAACTAGAGTGATGACACAAATAGTATTAGGAATGGAAAAAGAAAATCACATATGCAGAGATGAAGATGATAAAGGGGGTATGAACACCTTTATGGCAATAAATGTGAACATTTAGACAAAATGAAGAAATGCCTAGAAAAATATCGAAACTTACTTAAGAATTAGAAACTTTGAATAATCCTATAACAATTAAAGAAGTGAAATAATGAGAAATCTTGTTTCAAAGAAAACTCCAGGCCCAGATAGTTGTGCCTTGAAGCTTTACCTGACATTCAACAACAACCAGAGATTTCCAATCTTACATAACCTATTCCAGAGTCTAGACAGGGGACATTCTCCAGCTGAATCAAGCAGAACAGAGGACCAGATGAGAAAGGAAACTCACTTGTCAGTCTTACTGATGAATATAGTTGCAAAAACCCTAAACAAAATATTACTACCTAAACCTAGCAGATATAAAAACCCAACCAAGTTGGGATTATCCTAGGTCTGCAAAGGTGTTTTAATATAAAAAAATTCATAATGTAGCATATTAATTATAAGGAAAAAAATCATACCACCGTCTCAATGGATGGACATGCAGCTTTGGTTAAAAAATTCAACAATAAATTATGATAAAAAATCTCAAAATAAAAATAGATGGGAAATTTCATAATTCATTAAAGGGTATCTACAACAAGCCTACAGCAAATACCATACTTAATGGTGATATAGTGAAAGCCTTACCGTTAAGATCAAGAAAAGACAAGAATGCCCTTATCACCATTATAATTCAACTTTACATTAGATGTTTTAGCCAGGTAAGATCAAAACCAAAAAAAAATAGATGAAGGTACTGAAAAGAGGAAACAAAACTGCCGTTAATATTTGTAGGTTATATAATTTTATGCAAAAGTATATTCAGAAACACCCTCACATCATGTTTTACAAAAATAGGACATTTGTTTTTTAAAATTAAATAAGAGTGAAATGAGATTATGCGTAGACATGAATCTGGATGTAGGTCCTGTTTCTAGTAACTCTCAGGGCAGTAAGCAGGGACAGCCACGTTTGTTTCCTGTCTCTCAGGAATCACTGTCTTTTGTTGCCTGGTTTCCTACTGTCTTGAAAACTGTTGTTTTATATGTTTTGTTCTAGGGCCTTCAACTGTTGTTTTATATAAAAAACCATATGTTTGTTTTGGGCTATTTCAAATAGGAGGGTAAATCTGGTCTCTGTTACTCCATCTTGGCTGGAAGCAGAAGTCAGTTTAATTACATGGCTTATTTCTTAGTCTTCTTTTGTTAAAAAAGGGTTCTTTTAGCAAACACTTTATCCTAGTGCAAGGCTTTTCCCTTAAAAGCATGAGTAGATTTTTGTTTTTCATTTGTATTTTCAAAGTAACTGGTAGTTTAAAGGCCCAGTCCATAAGGACCTATGGAGTAGGGGCCCTGAGATGGATAGTTCCTGTGGCTTTTGTCATTCTCTGCTGTTATGTGCTTTGTTATCAAAGACGGTTCAAGGTCTCACCACCTCTGGAGTTTTGACCCTGTGATGTATTTCACACATTTTAACGAAAGAGAGATTGAGAGAAATCATTGATGGGTCCACATGGTTGTATCATATCCATGCATTGGCACAGAATGAAAATCTCTATGAAATTACCTTTGTGGAAAGCCCCAAACTCCATCTTCTAGCTTGTCTGATCTAGCTAGGTCAAATCAAAAGTGATCTGTAGGAACTTCTATGTTCTTGACACATTGCTATGATTTATTTTTGAGGCACAGAAATTTGTCTAAATATTAGTACACATATTATAGAGTTGCAAAAAAAATACGTATAGTTATATAGAGCACCATTTGCTTTTGTAAGAAGTTTATTAAGGATGTGGTTTAATTTCCCAGTATGTGATAATAAACTTATTTCTTTGTGATTATGAGCTTTGTTTATAATTCAATAGCAAATGTTTATTTTCCTTAAGTTACAATTCAGACATTCTTGGCATAACTAAATTTTCTCTGTGTCTTACAAAATTAAAAAAAATTAGACTTGAAACTTTCTTTCAAAAGATCTTTCAAATGGGGCCAGATTATTTTAGAAACAGATTTACTCATCCATGGTAATAAGGATGAGGGAGAGAAAAGGAAATTGAGATCTTGGACGAATCCCTAACTATCATTTTAGTCCATCACTTTCAGCCTCCCCTGCTCCTCTCAGACCCACTCACTCGGCAGTAGAGCTGCCTCGTTGGGACCCTCACTCTGCAGCCTGCTTGCTAGGCTAATGAGCAGTGCAATGGCCGAGAGCTGGGGAGCAATAGAGAAGCCAAAGGACCTAGATTATTTGAAATTAAAAAATTAACAGCAGAATAATGAGGAATCGACTGCCTTTCCTGTGCTGGGTTCCAGTCTTTTGATCAAAGGGTGTCTTTTCCTTATCATTTTACACTGTCTTTTTCAAAGTAATTTTAAAAATTATTTTTCAGTTACAGTTGACATTCAATATCATTTTATATTGGCTTCAGGTGTACAGCCTCGTGGTTAGACATTTATGTAATTTACAAAGTGATCCCTCCAATTAGTCTAGGGAATATAGTCAATAGTAATGTAGTAACTATGTATAGTCTCATTTTACAGTCTTAATCACAGTAGCCTATGTAAATAGTTGGATTTTGGGTAGGACGAAAATGAAAACTGGATTAGAAAAAGCATGTACTCGCTTGTTTTTTTATTAAGCCTTCAGATGGATTTTAAAAACTTAAACATGTTAAATGCTATTGCTGTCCTAGTTAACAAATGGAAGGGCATTTTCTTTTATGGTGGTCCTGAACAGTGTGTGTTTTTCTTTTCAGCTACTAAGTCTGGATTGTTACCACCACCACCGGCGCTCCCTCCGAGACCTTGTCCATCACAGGTAGGAGGCAGATGTTGATTTCTGTACACTGTTGGGTTGTCCTTTCATGGTGCTTCCTTTGCGAGGGCCGATCGCCACAGAACTGGATGGTCAGATTCCTAAGATGGCATCTGGCTGAAGAGAGCAGAGAGTGCTTAAATTTCTTCTTATCCAGCCAGCACCTCCCCTCCCTCCCCCAAACCTCATGTGGAAAAGGGAAAGTCCCCTCAATAAGCAACCAAGCAAATGTGTCCTAGTTCACGCTTGGCTATACAGGGTTACATATAGTTTTCATCCAGAGAAAGGAGGGGTAAAAGGTGGTCCTCTCCAATTGGGGGCGGGGCATGGTTTTTTTGTATAGCATATGCAGTCTGGGTGCCTATATTTTCATCAGTATTTTAGGAGCTGATTTATTCTGCATAAACTAAAAATAAATGGCCATCAACCTGTGGTTAGTGCTGCGGTTTGGGCCCACGACACTTTCTTTAGGAGGGTATCTTCCCTGGGAACAGTAAGGTATAACAGCAGGAGCTGGGAGAGCGTGTCACCAAAGCCTGTCTCCCGTGTGAATTTCTTCTGCCTTATTGGCATGTGCTACTCTGGCTTATTCATCAACACTCTTTGTAGAGCTGAAAATGGGTAGCAAGCACCCAATCTGGAGTGTGGTAAAGGGTGCTCCAGGCCCTGCCTTTCATTAACTGCTGCTGGAGAAACTTTTCATCATTAAAAACCCTGTCTGACTTTTGGTAGAAAATATTGGGCAGTTTCTCGATAAACAGTCCCAGTTTTTACCTCATTGCTCTGGGCGGTGCAGAGCATACCCTCTCACATGGAGCATCTTAGGACTTGCTGAGTCACTGAAACCACTTTTAACATTTGCTTGTCCTTTTTTGAGAGAATTAGGTTGTCTTTAGCATCCACTCAAACTTGAGATGCAAATACCATGAGGTCCTGGCTTCCTGCTTCAGTTTGATGGGTAAAAGCCCCCTTCTTTCTGCCCATGTACCTTTTCTAGTACTCCAGCATTGCCTTTAAGAGATTATTGGTTAATCAATCAACAGGTATTTATTGAGGCCCTGCGATATATCTAATGCCAAACTTTAGTTCCATCCTGAGACTTTCCCTGGTCATCATTTCTGCTCATTTGATCATTGGCTCTGTTTATTGAGCATCCACAATAGACCAGGAATTGTGCTAAGTGCTTTCAATGCATTATCTATTATCTATTAAGTAGGTACTAATATAATCCTTTTTTTACAGATGAGGAAATTGAAGCATACAGGGGTTAAGCCAGTCTCCCAAGGTGACATAGCTAGTAACTAGTAGAGCCAGCTCCCAACCTATGGTCCATCTCCTTAGGGTCCCTCCTCTCCCCATCACTGGAGTCAGAGTGTCTGTGTATACAGGAAGACAGTGATCCGTTGCTCTGGCAATTGAGGCTTTTACCACGTCCCCTAAGGAGGACCTAGATGAGAGGAGGCTCCGGATTTGCACTAACAGCAAACCTGGACTTTGTCACAACAAAATGAGTGGGCATTCTGCCAGCTGCTGCTTTCAAAGTGGGGCTTGGGAGCCACCTGGATGAATGAGTGGAAGACCTGCCTGAAAGGGCTTTTGTGGCCAACCTCCTTATCTTTCCCCTGCTGTGCAAGTGCCAACGCTTACTTCCTGGTCGGGAAATGCTGCGATCAGCAGGCCTAATCTGAGCTGCTTCAGGTGGGCTTCCTGCCTGCTTTGGGGCTTGAGGATCTGACAGGGCCCTGGGAATTCTCAAGTCACTGTTAGCAAACCAGACTGCTGCTTTGTCTGCTAGACTTCCCATCACAATGTGAACAGGGAGCCTCAGCTGCCAAACTCTGGCGATCTCAGACTACAGAGACAGGTGTGTAAGAAATGCAGGCAGAACTAATAAAAAAACAAAGAAATAAATGCAGGCAGAAAGCCCCCATGCCACTTCCCACCCCCACTGCCCCCCTTTCACCCACCGTAAGTGGGACACACATATTGAAAAGAGGAAGTCCTGGGTGATAGACACATGCTTCCCTTTGGTCTTTGTGCAGTGTCCCATTCTGAGTGTTGGCCCCAGGAAAAGCTCACCTAACCACCTGTCTGGGGCACCTGTAGGTGCTTGTCTTCTCCACTCTACTTGTGATAAAACCGTCTTCTGGGAGATATTCTGAGGGCTCTGTGCTGAGACACATTTGCAGGCTGCTGCCTCTGTACCCGCTTTGGGAGAGTCCCAGGGCATATGAGCCCATGAAAGGCTTTGAAGTCCCACAGTAAAGAAACCCGGTCAATTTTGTTAAAGCTGGCAATTTCCTAGCTTGTGTGACCATTCATTTCTTTATTTATAAAATACCTATTAATATCCGGAGGGCTTAGTGGTTAGGAAACATTATTATACACCAGACTTAAGGTATTGGTAAGAACATTTCCAAACCTCTTTCATCTGTCACCTCATCTCTATATTATGTGCTTAAAGGTAAATTTTTATATCTTATGCCAATACTTTTTTCTAGAAGAGTTGAAAATGAAAAATAAAATTTCCTGCACATTAGCTTGGGCTTTCAAATTGTCATGTTTTCAGTTTGTTGTGTTTTCTTCCTTGTTTTTCTATTCCTTCTTGCTTACTATCTCATGGGGTCATTTTTACCACTTAAACACGCTAAGTTCTTTTCTAGTCTGTTAATTTTTTTTCGAATGTTCCTTGCTATATATGGACAATAATCCTGACTTTGGAAAAAAAAATATATATACTTAGCTACAGAGACTTCTTTTATGGGGCTTAAACTGTAGTACCTAGGGGAGAAACCAGGAAGCCTGATATAACTAAAATCAGTATATTTATCAGTAGCTCTGAGAAGAGATTAAAATAAAATGTTTTTGGATTATTCTTGGGTTTAAATTTATCATGTTAGTTAACTTGATAAATGGGAAGACTAGATTGTAATAAACAAGAAAATGTTTTATTCCCTAAAAGGGATCACTGTTTTAAAAACTGTGGCCAATCAGTGATGTACTTTCAGATTTTAAGTATATAAGAGAAAAGAGTTTGTATATTTGCAGCTATGTGCATAAAGGTATGTATAGATCATTTCTACATACATCCAAAAAATATATATCTACTGCTATTATGTCAAGTGAGAGAGATGAAGTATAGGTTTTAAGCAGAAAATGCAGTTTAGCTGGCACTGCTATGATGTGCACACCTGGGTTAAGTTATACAAATGGGGCCCTAGTGTTAGGATAAGGAATCCATTCAAAGAAACAGATCTTTTTATTTTTCATACCATAGGTAAGATCAAGAAGGACCAAGAGAATATATACAGAATCTAGTGGTTTGTGTCCCACAGTTCCCTGCGGACAGACTACAGACCAGGCCATGGTATTTTGGCTCAGCTCAGGAGAGATGACACATTGTTTTGTTTAAAGACTGATTCATAGCATAAATGAGTAAAAGGCAATTATAATTAACTGTTTCATAGGTTCCTAGGGAGTAGTGTTAAAATGAGAGTTAGTTAAACTTATTAGCTCGCTGTTTGTGTGTATATAAATGGAGTCAAATGCCATCTACGGAGCTGGTGCTTGTCCTGTAGGTCAGTTCTCTGCTGAGGGCTTATTTGGTACTTCAGTAGCTAAATCCCTTTCATAGTGTTGATCTCATGCCAAATTTCTTAGGGCAACTGTGATAGAGGCACAGCTTCAGTGTAATTATCTTTAATAAAGAAAAGGTTTTTTGATACAAAGGATAATCTTTTCAGTATTATGTTAGCACCACATTGGATGAATTGAGGCTCCTGGTAGATTAATGCGTTCAGAATTTTCCTATTTATACCACTAATTTCTCCCCTTCTAATGGCAGGTGCACCTTGCTAGCAGTGTAATGAGTACTAAAATAGTCCTATCAGATGAAAGCACTATGGAGGAAGCATTTTATCAATCCTTTTAAGCTTAGAGAGACTGGGAGGGCTTCATGGAAGGGCTGAGGTGACCAATGACATGAGTTTTTAAGAAACGAGAGAACTTTTTAGATGGCTGAGGTATTCAGAGCTTTACTGTAGAGAAAAAGCAAGTGCAAAGAAACAGGTCTGTAAAGAGGTTTGAGGAACTGCCTGAAATTTGGAAAGCTATGAAGTCTTAGGGGAGAGAAATTGAATGTTTGGAGGTGGCAGTGAAGAGCAAGTGGCCTGCTCACTCGCTTGCGTCCCTGTGGTGCCTGGGATATAGGAGAGAAAGGGCCTCCTGACAGGGAGTTCTGTGTGGGGAGCAGCCCCTGAGGAGAGAGTACAGGGTGTCACTTAGCCCAGCGGTGCTCACCCTTATGCCCACTGGAATCACGTGAGGAAGCTAAACCTACTGAGGCCTGGGTCCCACCCCCAGAGATTTTGGTGTGGGCCAAGGCTTAGGCACGGGGAGTTCTAAGAAGCTCCCCAGGTGATTCTGAAGTGCAGCCAGGATTGAGAAGCACTGAATTAAGGCAAGAGGAAGGATTGCTCGGTGAAGAAGTTGAGATTGTGGGGATTTGTCCTAAAGGGCACAGTGGAAGGCTTTCTTGAGTTGTGGAGGGTGGGAGACACGCGGTCAGGTTAGGAGACGTACACAGACCCACCCCATGGGGACGAGAACCAAGTACAATGGATGTCATGGCAGCCTTGGGCTTTTTGTGATGACTGATATCAGCAGGGTTGGAGGGCACGATGGGAAGGTCTTGCTGGAGGGACTGGTTACTGTGTGCCTGAGGTCCTGTGGGGACTGTTATGAAGGACTAGCCATGAACATAGACAGCTAATCTCTCGTCTAACTTCATCATCTGGCTACATAGAATCAGGTCCCTAAGGCAATACCGAACCCCATGGAATATGCTGGGCCTGCTGCTCTATTTCAAAGTCAAATTTCTTAGATACAACTTTTTATAAAATATTGCCTTTATTCCATTTAGAAGGAAAGACTTCAACTCAAATGGCCATCTGTAGGCCCTAAACTTCTTCTGAAATATTTGACACTCTGTGCTTTAAAAAATG